TTTTCTCACATTCCCGCTCTTTCTCTCTTTCCCCCTTCTGGGCATTTCTGCTCTCGTTTGACTTCAGTTTCCATTTCTTCCTTACTAAATCTCTTAATCTTATTGATACCTCTCTTTGTTCATTTCATTGCTTTCCCTTACAATGACCAACCTTACATTGCTTATTCTAAATGACCAACCATGATCTACCTTTTAAAAGTAAAAAAGGATGCAAAATCTGGTACTGTACAATATGTTTATTGGACACTTGACAAAGCCTCATACAACGACTCAAGAAAGAAGACAAAAAATAAATATATGTATTCAGTAAATATGACGATAAAAACTACAAATTGATTAGACATCGCCCAAAGTTATATTAGTTTGTATACCAAATGCCGTATATACAATATATCACACGAGTAATAACATATTTTCAAGTAAATACTTGTAATTATTCATTAATATCATTATGAAATGATGCTCATATTAAACCCGCTTCAGGTTTTAGGCCCAGAGCAAAATTTACTCTCATAAAATGCAAAAATGCTCTCCTAATTCAAGTACCCTCCCTGACACTCAAAAATACCCTGTATACAATTTACGTTATAAAATTCCCTTTTTCTGGTGGCTCGCTGTAGTTAGTTTATTTTACATGTAACGTGTCATTGTACTTTTATACTGACACTTTATAGAGGATTGGTATCAATGGCCTAATATAAGACAGTCAAGGGTTAAATTTTGAACTTGATATAAAAAATTTTCAAAAAGCTATATGTAAAAAACCTTTCTGAAACAATCGCAATTTTGCTCTGAGAAAGGTCATTATAAGAAAAAATTGGGAGTCCCAACTTAGCGAATTTCTTTGGTAATCTGTAAAAGCTGAAACGAAAGTGTAATTCCTAAAAGTAAAGTACCTCCACGCAAAAGGCACCTGTGGGGCTCTTTGTTGGTCCATTGTTGTGAAGTTTTAATACATAGGAAACTTCTGCTACAAGGCTTTTACCATCTAGAAGGAATACAAGAACAAGTTGATTTCGTTAAGGAGTTGTCCTTCATTGCTGTAAGGTTGTAATAAAATAGATGAATTTCATCCCATCAACTCATCTAACACTGATGGGGAATCTTGTGATTCACAAATGTTAGAACAAACAACGCGTCCTTTATCTGAAATGATGAGCGTACCTCCAATATGCTCCTTTAAAGCTCCTTCATTGATCTCTGTTTCGCTACTATGCACAACCCCGTGCATCAGTTCATCAAGGACCGACGAAGGCAACGGTGATTCATTAGCATCTGTAATTATTCTCTTGCATGCCTCACCCAGCCCTTTGCAACTACCCAACATTGTGATATCCACTGGATGCTCAGAATCAGGCTGAGACGGCCTCGAAGCCCTGTTAATAGGGGAGAACATCAAGTCATCAAGAATACCATTACTGCCCTCAGAGTTAGTCAATTCTAGTGATAACTGTACATTTTCTTCATCATTTTCTGTAGATCTTTTACAGCCTGCATCGTCAAAAGAGATTCGGCTTTTGAACCTGTTGAGGCGCACATCAGCTTGCAGTTTACGCGGGACCCTTTTATCAAAATGAGAGATAACGTTATCACTTTCAGACGAACTATTGAAAGATCCATGCTCATCTACTTCAATATGACAATTTGCAGCAACATTTTCATCATCGGACACAACACCCTCGTCCCTACGATCTCTTTCAAACACAAGGTCTGGCTCAAACTCAATTTTCTTTTGTCTCCTTTTTCCTCTCAATAAAAAACTTTGCTTTCCGTGATTTCTTAGTCGAGTCTTGACTCCTGCCTCCTGTTTTCCTTGTGACCTGCCTCGCAAGGCATTCTGGGATTGCCCGGGGTTAGCACAATGACTTTTCTCTTTCGCAACAAAATAAACATTCCTTAATGACGAAATCCGCACAATCGATGGTTCTTCTGATTTATAGAAATCTAACAATTTCAGTTTGAGCTCCTCCTCTGAACATTTAACTAATTCTTTCGCAAACTCCAAAGGAGTCTCAAACCCGAAATATTTGCTGATCTTCTCGAACTGTTGTTTTTTTAAAAGAGGCGGAGTCTCACCTATTAAAAACATATCTTTTCCAACCCGTTCAAATATTCGTTGCTTTGATGACGTCGAGTAAGGAGGATTCCCGTCATCTTGTTCAGTTGGGCTACTACATGAGGCTTTTTCTGCATCCGGTTTCTTACTTCTTGCTGTGCACGGTACGTCATCGCTCTCTTCATTTGACTGAATAGGAAAGAGCAAGAAAAACAAACTGGGGATCACAATAATTAAACCGGTTTTAATCTGCTTTGAAAAAAAGATTCTTATCACAAATGAAACAAAAATTCGAACATTTGAAAAGGGTGAAAAAATGGTTTTTGACAGATTGCAAAATATTGTGTAGTGTACAATGGAATCTGGAAAAAAATCACGAAAGCAAATACATTAAGATGGCACTTGCACTTGGAGATGGAATTCTAAAATCATGATACAGGCTACCTCTGAATGTCTTCGTTAGAAAGTTTCATTCAGAGAAAATATTTCAGCAACATTAGAGGATCAACTGGAAAAGCAGTGCGTAGAGTCTTTTCTAACATCTTTTCTGAAAATCACAAAAGTACACACAAAAGGCCATTGCTATGCTCACCAGATTTAAAGAATAAGAACTGCATTTTACAACAAAGTTACTTCAAAATCTTCTTTGCAAAGAAATGGAAAGAATCTGCTAACGAAATTCCCAGCCATGTTGACAAAGAATTCGTCAACTCGCTTATTAAGAGAGATATTTTGGTTTTAATAATTGCATGCCTTACCGAATGGTCGATGAAGTGTGCAGGTTGCTGTGAATACACTCCATTCCAGAAGACATCCTTGATTGCTTCCCTTGACATCATGTCTTCAGCGACGCTTTTTGATAAAACTTTTTTCTTTGTACTGGTATACGTGACACCACATTCATCTTGCAAAGAAAAGTGTATTTTTTATCTTTTTATTCATTATTAGTACCTCAATAATTAGTTTTAATTCTTAGCAGCAATATTCCTCGAAATTTAAATTGGAAACATCGCTGGAAATAGTTCTGAATGATCTTTATGAAGACAAATTGGTTGTGTTTATATACTTTAACATGGTACCATTCCATTGTTACACAGAGTCACTGGGTAAACCACCGTGTCATTGCACGTTGATATTATCGTGAATTTCGAAAAGTGGGTGTGTCCCTTGGAGCCAGAGATGCTGTCACTTTTCAGCCAGGTTCTAGAACTAAATCAAATGAATTTTTATACTGTAAAACCAGATCTGAGTCACGGGCCAAAGAGAATTTACACTAATCGAGAAAGATAACGCCGACTGTGCTATAAATTTAAAAGTTAGACTGTTGTAAATAACTGCAAATAATAAAACTTTGAATAGCATTAGAGAAAAAATACTAAAAAAGGGGCCTATAATCATATTCTATTGAAAGAACCTTTAATAGACTATGGTAATATTCAGCAATTTAGAGGGTATTAATAACCATTTTCTAATACGTGATATTAGTGCTATGTGCATATGGGGCTAGAGCTACTAATAATACTTGTCAATTTACTAATTTTTTTCTTTCTCTTCATTTAGCGTGCATGTGTACCTTACCTTTCTTTTACTATTAATTTTCAATTGTTATTTCTTGGAAACCTGTAAGTGGCATTTGTAGTGAGGACTGGGTGACCCTGCCTTTCCTCGCTACAAATGCCATAGCATTATACATGAACCTTGTTGTTTTTAAACTTTTGATTGATATAAAAAACAACACTTGCAGGACATGTATAGCTATCCAATTGTAAGGCCTTGTCGATGTATGTTACTGTAGTATTTTATCAATGTTCCTTAAACCTTTCACTTCCAAAAATTACATCCTTTCAACTGGGGGAAAATTCTGCTTGAAAAAATCATATCTTGCTAAATATAGTGCAAAATGACAATTTATAAATTTTCATCGTTTAATAAAGAAGAATGTAATTATAACAAATAACATAATCGTGTATATTAACCAATGTTATGATGACTTGTCGAAAACTTAAAAACTTTAGCACTCACAAAAACCGATAACAAAAACTTCCAAAGACATTATCCGTGAGATAAAGTTATGAACATTTAAAGTTGTCAACGATACACATTGTTTTTCTCTGCACAAAATCTACAAAAATCTATTCCAATCTCGGAAATCTGTTTAATACTGAGAAAAATATTTTAAGCATTTCATGAACTTTAGAAATCTAAGAAATTTGTCAAACTTTCTTGCACTATATTTATTGCAAATGAGACATTTGACTTTGTTGCGTCAAATTGCGAATTTCATATTGCTTGTAATTTTGAATGAGACGTCTCTAGATATTTATATTTTGATTGTGACGTCAAATTTGTACAGAGCTATAAAAGAGAACAAAAGCATCGAAGTAAACAGTTTTTACATGCTCGCTTGTAGTTTATGCTACCACTTGCTTGTGAATTTAGTTCGAGATTTATCGAGACTTTATTAGAAAACAGTTGCTGAGGTGAATTTAATATTCGTCAAAAGATGGGAAAAGTTCTTTCAAAACAAGACAAACCTTCACAAGAAAGTGAAGAATCAATGGAAAAGGTAATATATATTATATCATGTTATGATTAAATCAGTTTGATTAAGACATTAGAGTACGTCAGAGGATGAAAAATTATTTATCAAACAGTGAACAATGTTTTCTAATATTTTTATTGGCAAATTGATATTTTATAGACTGAAATAGTTTCCTTTTTTAAGGTTCAAAAAATTACAAATGAAATTTAAGTTTATTTATTTTCAGGAACCAGTTTCCCGTATTTGGAAAATTAGACAGTTTTTCAAAGAGATGAGAAAAAGGAATTCAAAGTCAGCCGGTTTTGGAAACGATAAAGAATCTTCTCACAAAGAAAGAGTTCGAAAAGACACAGGTTTGTAATTCATATGAAAAAATATTCTCCAATTGCCAAATCACACTGTTGCATTAACAAAATTACGAGTCCGCTTTAAAAGCTTATTATATGGTTACTGATATTTAAAGTGTTAAAGAATTTCAACAAATGCATGAATAAAGCTAACATTAAACAACTGACGTGCAAAAATTGAAGCTTTCTAAATGAAACGATTAAAATTATAAGTAAGAGCATTCAATGATACAAATCTGTCTTATTGCTTTCCAGATCGTATCAAGAATATGTTTCAAAGGGATTCACATTCCAAGCGTTACAAACGAAGTATTGCAGAGGAACTTTTTGCCAAAGATCTGAAAGCAAAAGGGCTTGATGGTTAGTCAAAAGATTTTTTATTATTGCCACTCGGTTTCGGAGGGTCAATAACTTATATAACACAAACATAATTGTTTTTACTTCTTCTTTGAAGTTTCATATCATTTAGTTTCAATTACATTGTCAATCAATACTTACTTCAATTTAAAAATTCTTAACAACTAACACATTACAACACCAAAATAAAATAATAAAAACTAAGAGAAAAGGAAAATTATGAAAATATAGAGAAAAAGGTGTTCTTTACCTGATTGTACTCACGGTCGATTGTTTTAAGAATATCTCTCTAAGTAAAAGAACTAATCGAGAGATAGCCCCGAAACCAAATAAATACAAAGAAACTGGTTATTTTAAAAAAACAGCTCCATCAAAAAGTGCTTGGAAAGTTGTTATCACTAATCTATAGTATTGTTATAAATTAAGTGAGGATTGCATGGGAATGACAATTTTCAAACAGGATGCCAAATTCATTCACATAAGTTTTTCTCGACAGATTCAACGATTGATATCATTTACAAGCTTGGATTATCAAAGTCATTTTTTACTGAAACTGATCAAGCTCCAGGTATTTGAATTAGCTTTCATGAGATTTAATGTAAGTGATTAGGGCAAATGAAGTCTGAATGTTCGTCGAAATACAAAAAAGGAGACATAGGGGAAAAAATATTCCCAATTATTGTATCGGATCTATCTTGCGTGGTAAATTAAGTGTATTATTTTTTTGTCTGTTTTATATCTTTAATGTTTTTCTATCAAACAGAACTTTTATAGCACCTGTTTTTGATTTTATTGTTTTCGACTTTATATCATTGAAATAATAAATCGTCTATAATGGAAAACCTTTGATAAAGACAAATCTTCACAATTTTGATACACTTAGGCCGCTCCTTCGTGGATAATGAAGTCAAACAAAGCTCTGCTGTTCTCAGAATAAAGAAGCAAAGGACAAAGAAAGAAAGTAAGATTCTTTTCTTACACTGATAATTGGAATTTTTGGCATAAATTTAAACATTTCGAGCTTCAGATGAAAAATTCGAAAGATAAAAAGTTTTTTATATAATCGTCAAATATAATATAATCAGATAGAATCTTTTCTCATATCAACAAACAGACAGCCGTGTTAAAGAAAATTTCTTGCAATATCGTCATTCACTGTACTTAGAACGAAGCTGCAGAAAATCAATTTTAGAACAAGGACAACATTAGGAGCATTAGAGCCTAAAATCAACAAAAGAAAAATGTGGCTTTCACGTATCTTTCAGTTTAAGACCACCAATTGACCACTATCCTTGAATTATATTCCTTTACATAATATAACTTTTAGGCAATGGTACGCAAATTTTGCATGTTCATAAGACAAAACTTTAAAAATTGAATCTATTGTGAACTACGAGGACAAAAAGTGTAGCTCTAGCACGATTTGATTTGGAAGATAAAATAATATTGCTTATAACTAATATTAAATTAGAACTAAATTGTTTCTGTTTTTAAGAGAATTAGGGTTTCCTTTGAAGTGTTGTCTCTATTTTACAAGAAAGTTTACTTTCTACATAAGTAGCATCTGAATTGTGTTCACTTTTGAAGATACAATCCCTAACTTTTTAACAAATTATGGATTTTATGAAATAATAATAACAACTAAATTCTTGTGCATTTTTCCTTCAATAATCTCAAAGAAATATCTTTTCAGTGATGGAGCTTGCTAAGCAAAATACCGAAGCACCTGGAGTAAATGATCCAATATTGAAGACAGCGAGTGGAGACGACGAGGCAAAAGCCAAAAGCCTAGTGCCAGGTATCTATTCAATATACTTTTTCATGCTGTTGTCATCTACCAGAAAGCAGGATATTTTTCTAGAAGCTCACGAAGAAAGATGATAGAAGCTCATCTTAGAAATTTAAAAATTCTTCCTGCAAAAAATTTAAGGTGGTTAATAGAAGATAAAAAGAGAGTATCTCTCACCTTCTGATTCTAAACCTCATCATGCGTAGAATCTGCCTGATTAATAGAAATACTTGAAAGTAAAAAGCTCTTTTACATTTCTTGAAATTGCGAAAGGAGTTGAGAAAATTACTTATTCCATTCACATTCAAGACTTGCACAAAGAGCTAGTATTATGGAGTAGCGATTAAATCTTTTTTGACTTTGGAATGTGATAATATGACATGATAGTAATTTACTTTCATAAAAATCAGTCTTTAGGCACGCAGACCTGCAATGGATTCTGCAAGAAATCAGAAGATTATTCCAGGAAACAGCATGCAATGGTAGGTTTAATGTTTTCTCTACTAAATTCTTTTTCCGTCAATTTACATTGCGCTTGTGTAGTTCATACAAATTTTCAACGTGACATACATTCGGACAACATTAGATTATTTACAATAAATTTTGCGACCAATCTTTGCTTGTAGCCTTAAAGTTTTTTATTCCTGTTGTAACATCGTATAAATTTGAATTCAAAAGCAAATTCGATATTTTTTTTCTGAAAAGAGGGGCTTATGCAAGATGGGAGTAGCCAAGTGGGGGCTTATTAAAAAGTTGATCTTATTGTCAGAATATAATAAGAAAACAACAAGATTGGTGACAAAA